GGGGGGAAGAGAGAGAGAGAGAGAGAGAGAGAGGGAGAGGGGAGGGGGGAAGAGGGGATGGATGAGCGGGAGTGGGAATGCAATTTCCCAGCGCAGCTGAGTCGTGTGAATGGCAGCTGAGGACAGTACAGCGGGGCCGCTGCCCTGCGGGACTGCGCCTGTGGGCCTGAGCCTCTGAGCCTGTGCGGCCCTGTGTTCATGTGTCCCAGCGACCGCGGAACTCGCCCTGTCGCAGGATTGCCAGGAAAGACAGGCAAAAACCCACCTGTGTTTCGCAGCAGGCGAGTGTCTCCGCCTGCCTACGAGGCAGCATCCGGCTCCACCGAGCGCGTGCTCCGGCGCTCAGGACCCAGGACCGGGGGAACACATTGTGCGAGGCGCTCACCCCACACAGAATCACACAGACAGCGCAGCCCACCAGGTTAAGTGGCACTACGCGCGTTCCACCAGCCCCACCTCCTGGCACGCTGACTGTCCGCCGGGCAGAGTTGTCCAACCCTCTACCGCCCAGCCCCGCCCCGCCCCGCCTGCACATGCTACGTAATTGATTGGCAGATCTGTGGTCGGGCCGGGAGCGCTGCTACCGTCCTGCCCCGCCCCCCGGGGGGCCGCCACGCGGATGCCAGCGGGGGACCGCCTGGGACCGCAGCGCAGACCAGGCACTCGGCGCTCCCGGGAAACGATACCGTTCCAATCCGTTCTGCGGGAAGCGAGCCGCGCGCGCCTCAGTTTGTCTGCAAATTGAAACCGCGCGGGAAAGCGGCAGTGCAAGCGGAGGGTTGAGGCGGAAGCAGGGGAGAAGGAGGTGGAAAAGAGATCGCGGGCGTCGCGGCGGGGGAGAGAGCGGCACAGAGGAGAAAGATGTGTGATGAGAATGGATGCGCGGCGTTCTGTTTTGCGCTCCGCGGCGGGGGGTTTCCGTCCGTGCCGTGCGATGGAGGGGGGGAGGGGGCGGTAAACCATTGACGACAAACAACAACACGAGCTGCACGTCTCCCGTTGGGACCGTGTCTGTGACGGCGCGGCACTCGCTCGGGCTGAGAGGAGGGAGTGATGGCGGAGAGAGAGAAGATGCCCTGCTTGTCTGCTGCGCGCGCCGCACGTCATGCCGGTAACTGCGAAACTCAAACAGCAGCCAACACCCGCGGTTGTAGGGTGGGGCGGGGTGGCAGGCGATCCACACCCAGAAAAATGATTTCTTGCTTCAAGTACATTTTGCACTAAAAGTGACACAAGATTAATTTGTTCTTGACTCAAAACGATTTTTCCTTTGGAGTAACTTGGAGTCACTTTTAGTTCAAAATGCACTTGAAACAAGAAATCATTTTTCTTGGTGCAGCAGGTCTCCCCCCTTGCGCTATTAAGTCGTGTGGCAACTGGCGGATCGACAACGAAAAGTTACCTCCAGGCGCGTCCCGTCCCGTTAACCCTCTGTCAGCAGTGCGCCTGTCGTGTGCGACGTCATCCCCTCGCCTCGGGTAGCACAACAAAATCGCGAGGATCCTCCTCCCCCCCCCCTCCCCCCACCTTCCATGGAGAGTAACGGACTGGGGCTCCGACGCCGTCCTGGTGGAGCTGGAGCGAGAGCTTGTGGATCGGGGGCACCACGCCGCCGTGTTAAACAAAGCCTGGCCGCGCTGCGGTCCGGGTGGGTGGGGTAAGGCGGGGCG